CCACTGAGCCACCCAGGCGTCCCCAGACTGGGAGATCTTAAAGACATGGGTAGGGTTGCCTAGCCTAGTGCACATAGTAGGCCCTGAATAAATGTTGATGAATAAACACACAATAAGAGCTTAATAAGCATCTGTTGAATAAATGGGAACCTATGGGATATTTAATAAATTTTTATTGTTGAAGGTTTAGGAGACTAGATTCAGCCTCCCAAATATATCTGTCAGCAATTATCTTAGCTCAGGCTGCTATAACAAAATACCACAGATTGGGTAGCTCAAACAACCCACATTAATTCTCACAGCTCTGGAGGCTGAAGTCCAAGATCAAAGTGCTGGCAGATTAAGTTGCTGGTGAGGACTCTCTTCCTTGCTTGCAGATGGCTGCCTTCTTGCTGTGTCCTCAGGTGGCCAGGGGAAGCTCTGTTCTCTCTTCCTCTTCTTATAAGGGCACAGATCCCACCATGGAGACCCCACCCTTATGACCTCAATTAAACCTAATTACCTACCAAAGGCCCCATCTACAAATAGTATCACATTGTGGAGGGTGGTTAGGGCTTCAAGTTATGAATTTGCGGGGACACAAATATAGAAGAAATATTTCTGAAGCATTTACTATGTGACAGGCTCTGGGTAGGGCCCTGCAGGGGGTGTGACAAAAAAATGCCCTTGTATCCTACTCTTTGGGGAACTTACCGTCTAGTAGGGGAGGCAGTTTATAACACAAGGGAGGGGAGCAGGTATGGTGTCAAAGGTTGGGTGCTCAGAGTAAGGACTCTTTGAGGGAGGAAAGCCAGGGGAATGGTAGGGAGGAGGACATCTCTCCTTATACACCTTTCACTAAGGAGGAAGCCAAGCTTGGCCTGACTGCTATAGCAGGTGCTGTGCACAACCCAGAAAAACCCCTTCAGAGCCTGGCCCTCTCCAATGTCCTATACCCCCCACTCCATAAGTTACCTGACGCCTTAGGGAGATGGTTTATAACACAAGTTTTGGTATCAGATCAACTGAAACTGCAATCTGGATGATGCCTCCTGCTAGCTTCCAAGACCTTGGCCAAGTTCCTTCTCTGAGCCTCAGTTTCCTTCTCTGTAAAATGGGGGAAATAACAGGACTCACTCTCAGGGTTATTGTAAATATAATGAAAGTAAATCATCTGGGGGTGCCTGGCTGGCTCAGTTGGTGGAGCATGTGACTCTTGATCTCCAGGTGGTGACTTCAAGCCTCACGTTGGGCATGGAGCGTACTTAGAAAAGGAAAAGGAAAAGAAAAGAAAAGAAAAGAAAAGAAAAGAAAAGAAAAGAAAAGAAAAGAAAAGAAAAAAGAAAAAAAAGACAAGACAAAAATAACTGGTCCAGCTGAGAATTGGGGGTTTCTGGTTGGGTCAACTCCACCAAGATTATATAGTCCTTCACTCTTGCTGGATTTGCAAAAGCCAAATTTAAGGGATCCCTGGGTGGCGCAGTGGTTTGGCGCCTGCCTTTGGCCCAGGGCGCGATCCTGGAGATCCGGGATCGAATCCCACGTCGGGCTTCCGGTGCATGGAGCCTGCTTCTCCCTCTGCCTGTGTCTCTGCCTCTCTCTCTCTGTGTGTGACTATCATAAAAAAAAAAAAAAAAAAAAAAAAAGCCAAATTTAAGAGTTTATCTGCAGCTAAGGGGACTCCATCTGGGTCCTAGAATTGTGGATACCAGGTAGTGATGGCTAATATGTGTTAAGGATGTACCTTGTTGGGGCACCTGGGTGGCTCAGTGTTTGAGTGGTATCTCAACCTTTGTCTTGGGGTCGTGATCCCAGGGTTCTGGGCCAGAGCCCCACATCAGGTTCCCCACAGGGAGCCTGCTTCTCCCTCTCCCTGTGTCTCTGCCTCTCATGAATACACAACATCATTAAAAAAAAAAAAAAGAAAAAGAATAAGAATGTATCTCATTTGGGGCGCTTGGGTGGCTCAATGGGTTAAGTCTCTGAGTTTTTTTTTTTTTTTTATGATAGTCACACAGAGAGAGAGAGAGAGAGAGAGAGAGAGAGAGAGAGGCAGAGACATAGGCAGAGGGAGAAGCAGGCTCCATGCTCTGGGAGCCTGACGTGGGATTCGATCCCGGGTCTCCAGGATCGCACCCTGGGCCAAAGGCAGGCGCCAAACCGCTGCGCCACCCAGGGATCCCAAGTCTCTGAGTTTGGCTCAGGTCATGATATCTGCCTCTTGGGATCAAGCCCCCACTAGCCCCCCTCTGGGCTCCCTACTCAGCAGGGAGTCTGCTTCTCCCTCTCCCTCTGCCCTTCCCCCTGCTTGTGCTGTCTCTCTCAAAAAAAAAAATATATATATATACATTTTAATGCATCTCATTTAATCTTCATAACAACCTTAGAAAGGTAGTATTAGTTATCATCCTGAAGTCAGAATCCCAACTCAGAGTCCTCACTGGGAGCAACCTGCCTGTCTGTGAAAACAAGTGGGTGTAGAAAAACAATAATGAGAAAGGCTCTCCAGCTGTAAAGGTTTCTTATGGTCAAGTGCCCCTGGGAGCTCGGAGATCGTTGGATCTCCAACGATCCAGTCCTGGAGATGGAGGTGCGACCATACTGATTTTAGGACCCCTGAGAGCAAGGACAGCTGAGGTTGTTCACCTTTGTCTCCACTGTCGCACAGCGCCTGGCATCCTGTAGGCACGCCATAAGCGTTATTAACAATGAAGAAATAGCCCCTTGTGCACCTTTTTTTCTTTCTTACCTTTTTTCAATATACCTAGATTCCCGGGGAGCCTGAGCCGGACCTGGCGAGCTTGAAGGACACTGAGCCTCCTGCTGCAGGGCCCCGCAGCAGCCTGAATCGCCGCGATCCCGGGCGCCGGGAGGGGGCGCTCTGCGGCCCTCAGCCTTCTCCCCTCCCCCACGCACCCGGCGAACTGGGAGAGTCGGCCCTTAACAGCCCCCTCCTGGAAGGTGCTGGGTCCCAAAGCTGGCCTGCCCCCAGGCCCATCTGCCGGCTAATATTTAACCAGGTCTCGGGATCCCTGGGTGGCGCAGCGGTTTGGCGCCTGCCTTTGGCTCAGGGCGCGATCCTGGAAACCCGGGATCGAGTCCCATATCGGGCTCCCGGTGCATGGAGCCTGCTTATCCCTCTGCCTATGTCTCTGCCTCTGTCTCTCTCTCTCTGTGACTATCATAAATAAATAAATTAAAAAAAATTAAAAAAAAAAAACCAGGTCTCACTCCACATTACCCACACGAGGGAAATCGGGGTGGGGTGGGGGCAGAGGAGGTCACCTCCAAATCGCTACTTTCGGGGCTTATAGGCCTTTCGTGTATCACCCAACAGTTCATAAGCACCTATTCTGCGTCTGTTCCTGTAAGTCATGAGTACCTATTATGTGTGCATTCATGCAACCATCATAAGCTCCATCTATGTATCCATTTGCCCAAAATATCATAAGCATTTTCTGTGTCATGAGAGCAGGAACTCTGTGTCCATTTATGCAACAGCCAGGAGCACCTACTATATGTACAATCGCTTAACATGTAAGGAGCACCTACCCTGTATTCATCAGTGCAAAATGTCTTGAGCACCTACTAGGTGCAAAGCGCGGTGCCAGGAGATGAGGATGCTGCATGATCAAGACCCGCCGGCTTCAGGCGCTGGCGGGGGACAGCGGCAGCAGATGCACCCGGAGTCAGATGCCTCACCTACCAGAGGATGCTCTTCCTCTCCTGCACTCCTCGAGGCCAACTGTGAACCAAGATTTGCCACCCGACCGCAGAGAAGGTAACTGGGCAGGGGCTCCAGCTTGGCCCAAACGAGACACACCAGAACGCGAGTCTGGATCAACGTCGGGAGGGAAAAGACAGCTTAGGGGGGTGCGGGGCTTTCGCCCTCGCCGGCACCCACTCCTTCCAGGTCCTAACGGCGGGCGCCGCGCAGGGGCGCGGAGGGGGCGCGGAGGGTCGGGGCGCGACCGAGGATCCCCAGCGCTCGGGCTGGGGACGCAGGTAGTCCCAACCGCTAGGACCAAGACTAGGGCCGAGCGGAAGCCCGGACCGCTCCCGGCCGGACTTCGTCCTGCCCGTCCCGAGGGCACGGGGGGTGGGGGGGCGGGGGGACCAGCCCGGCTTGGGACGCGAGGGAGGGGCTCCCGTCCGGGCTCGAACCCCGGCTTGCGCCTCCCCGAATCCCGAGCCGGGGCCTCTGCCCGCCGGGCGCTGCCCGCGCGTTCCTGGAACTGGGCTGGGCGGAGAAATCAGGGCCTGCGGAGAGGCATTCCTGCCGCCCTCCCCGCCGCCCGGGGCTGCGGGGGGCCTGGCCAAGGTGACCCCGCGGGGGGGGAGGCGAGGGGCCTCCGCCCCCTCGGCCGCAGCGACCTCCTCCATCTTCCCCGTCTCCGGGGCTCTTCCTCTGGGCCCGCCCGCCCCGCCCGCCCCCTCCCCGGGCTTCCCCGAGGGCGGGACATCCCTCCCCCGCGCCCCCGCCCCCCCAGGCCACCTCCGGGCGGTGTCCCAGCGCTGCCCTCCGGCCGGGGGCGGGGCCGCGCGGGGGTGGGGGGCGCGGGGATGGGGCCCCGGGGGACGCCCGCCGCTCGCCGCGGCCCCGCCGCCCTCGCTGCCTCCCTTCCCCCGGCCCCGCGCCGGCTCCCGGCCGCCCCCTCCCCCGACGCGCAGGCCCCGCCTGGCAGCTGGCGCCCCGGGCCTGGGGCCGCCGCGGCGAGAGGGGTTTGCAGGGAGGGCGGGCGCGAGGGAGCCAGCGGGGGAGGGAGGAGGGAGCGAGGCCGCCCCCCGCGCCCCTCCTCCTCCCCCTCCTCCGAGGCTCGCCCGGCCCTCCTCCCGCCGCCTCCCTCCTCCCTCCTCCTCCCTCTCCAAGACATCCCCGCACGGCCCGGCCGCCGCGGCCACCTTCCCTGCCGGAGCTGCAGATGTGGCGGAGTGGCCGGGCGCCGGGCGGCCGAGCCAGGGGAGCCCGCGCCGCGTGAGCCTCGCGCCCCGGCGCCCGCCCGCCCCGCCCCCCCCCCCGCTCGCGCCCCCGCCGCCCCCCGACCGCCGGAGCCCGCAGCCCGGAGCCCGCCGACCCCGCCGCCGAGGTAGGAAGCTCCGGGGCGTCGCGCCGTGGGGCCGGGACCCGGCTGGCGGGGCGCGGGGGCGCGGGGGCGCGGGGGGCGCGGGCCCCGAGGGTCTCCTCCGCCGCCCGCGTCCGCGCCTCGCCTCGCCCCGGGCCATTGTGAGCCCTCGCCGGGGCCCCCGCGCTCGCTCCCTCGCTCGCTGGGCTCGCGCGCTCCCTCCCTCGCCGGCACCCGGCCGCGTCCCCTCCGCGTCTCCGTCTTTCTCCTCCCTCCTTCCCTCCCTCCGTCCGGAGGCCGGGCCGAGCCGCGGCCGGGCCCGGGGCGGGAGCAAACTTCGGCGGGGAAGTTGGGCGGCCGCGGAGGGGGCGCGCTGCGGGCCGGGAGGGGCCCCGGAGCCTGGGCACGAAGTTGTCTGGGGCGCCGGGCAGCCGCCCCTTCCCACGGCTGCGCCGGGCTGTTTCCAGGACGGGGTTTGGAAGGTGTCTCCTCCCTCGTCCGGGAAAGTCTCCCTCCTGCTGCCCCGGGCTAGCCCGGGCCCTTCCTGGGCGGGGGGGGGGGGGGGGAGGGAGGGAGGCGTCCCTGGGGGTCGGGACGGGGGGGGGGGCGTTGCTGCGCGGTCAGGACCGGGAGCCGGAGGCCGGGCTGGCACTTGTCCGTCCACTGCTGTCTGCGGGGAAGCAGAAGAACCCGGCCAAGTGAAGGGGGCAGGGGACCTGGCGGCCCGCAGGAGGGTCTGGAGGAGTGGGGGAGGGGTGAGGCAGGTGCATCCCGAGGGAGGGAGATGCCGGCACCCGGCTTCCCGCAGGCCCCCTGGATCAGGGCTGGAATCTAGGCTGGCACCTGGAGGCCCTGGCACACTGCCCTGGTGGGTCGGGTCCTCGGGCCACAGCAGGGCAGCATGCTGCCCGTCCGCCTGTCCAGGAGGGCCCGCCTGGCCTGGCCCCCCGGGGCAGTGATGGTGGCAGGGATCCTGGCCCTGCCCTGGGGCCTGGGAAGCGGGAAGGGATCCTGGGAGGAGCCCTGGGCCCCCAGCCATCACAGCCCAGGATCTTGGCTCTGAAGGGAACGCTTGACACTGAGGGGGCAGCCAGGCCAGCCGGGGACCTGGCCAAGGCCTGAGCTCTCGTGGCTCTCGGTCTAGGCCAGGGCCAGGGCCCGAGCTGTGGGCTTTCGAGGCAGCCTTCCTGAGGGTCTTCCAGCCCCGAGGGAAGCTGGGGCCGAGCTGATGCTAGAGACCCGCAGGAGACACCCTGCCCCCTCAGGGGCTTCCTCAGTTCCCAAGCTCAGGGAAGGAGAAACTGGCCGCTTCCTTCTGCCCACCCACCCAGCCCTCTCCAAGCCCCACTCCCGGTGCCACAGCGCCACAGCTGTTCCAGCCCAGCCCACACATCCCTCCCCGTGACCTCGGAGCCTTCCCCCTCTGCTCCTCCTTCTCCCCTCTGGGCCTGGGCTGGGCCTCCCAGCTGGCCCTGGCCCACTCTGGGGGAGGGGCTGCACCTGGGGAGCCCTTCCCAGGACACCTCTTCCAAGCTCCAGCCCTGCCCGTTTTACAGCCCACCTCCAGCTCTCCTTGGCCCTGTCTGCAAGCAGCCAAGGAGGAGGCAGTGTCAGGGCGTTGGGGCACAGTGTATGGGGGTTGGGGACCCCTTGGAAGCAGCCCTGTTTTCCTTAGCTCCTTACCCTCCCCCTCCTTTCCGGAGCTGCCATTAGCGCCGACCCTCTGACCCCCAGAGCCTGCCCGCCCTTCCCTGTCTGTGACCTTTGACCTTTGGTGTTAAATCCCTCCAGCTGGGGCTCTTCGGCCCCTGAGTGACCCTGGCCTAGGTCCCCTGGGGGGCCTCTCCCTTCTCCTGGCTCTCTACACAGGGACACCTGCCAGTCCCTCCCTCACTGATGGGGAGGGGGTGCCCCAGGAAGCCAGACAGTGAGTCACCCCACTTCCAGGCACCACTACTTTTAGAGTCCGTGGCTTTGGGGGATTCACAAGAGCCAGGCCACAGCCTGGAGGGTAACTGGGAAAAGCCCCTGGCCTGGGAATCTGATGTCTTAGATTTGAGTTTGGGCCAGCCCACCAACTCCCAGGGGTCCTTGGGCCAGCTCCCCACCCCCCCATCACCCCACCCCTTCCTGGGTCTCAGTTTCCTCTTCCATAAAACCAAGAGGTCAGACAAGGTGAGCTTCCCGAGTTGGAGTCTGTGACAAGACTTGTTGGGGGGGGGTGCGCTGAGAAGTGGGGTCAGGCCAACAAAAGCCAACTCTCAATTATCCGTGGGTGGAGCCAGTATGAATAACTGGATGCCACAGACATCCCAAAACCTCATTTCAAACAATCGTGTGAACCGCGTCCCCCCAAAGCTTTTGTTGTTTCTAAAAAGCCAGCTGCGAATGGGTAGCCACAGCCATGTCTTGTGCCTGGGCTCCCCTCGCTGGGAGTGCCCTCAGAGGGCAGACTGGCCTGCGGGAACACAAAGCCCTGCCAGGGCCCCTCCTGGGGGCCTGGGCCAGCACCCCTCTCACCCCACCTTACAGCCCCCACCCCCCCTTCCCTGGCCTGGCCTTGGCCCCAGGCGGTGGGAGTGTCTCCTGCCACCTAATCCTCCCAGGGTCTGAACTGGGGTCTGAACTGCGGTACAGGAGGAAGAATGTGTTTTCCTGACAACATTTTCCCATGTGCATTTTCATCCACCCTGACTTGCCTGGAATCCCACTTGTGCGAGGGGGTGGGGATGGGTGCTGTGCAGAGTTGGGGGCAATCCCAGGATGAGGGAGAGTGGCGACAGCTGTGCCTGGGGACCAGATGTTGGGGCTGGGGCCTGCAGTTGAGCTCTTCGGGAGGCGTCGGGGTGGGGCCCTGGTGCTGGGAGGCGCCCTGGGGTTTGGTGGGGGAGATGGCTGCTCCTGGCTCTCCTCTTGGGCACCGGATGACCCCCCCCCCCAGGTTATGTACCAGGGGAGCCTGTGGAGGCCCCTCACCCAAGCAGGGAGTTCGGCTTGTAGTGGAGAGGCCCCAAGCTGGGTGGAATAGGGGGAAAGTTCTCTTCAGGGCTGCAGAGAAGCCTCCCTCTATTCAGGATTATTATTATTTTTTAAATTTTTATTTTTTTATGATAGTCACACACACAGAGAGAGAGAAAGAGGCAGAGACACAGGCAGAGAGAGAAGCAGGCTCCATGCACCGGCAGCCCGACGTGGGATTCGATCCGGGGTCTCCAGAATCACGCCCTGGGCCAAAGGCAGGCGCCAAACCGCTGCGCCACCCAGGGATCCCTCTATTCAGGATTATTATTGTCGTTTTATATTTCACACAGATGACCGAGGCCAGGGGGTGACTGGCGGAAGGTGCCGGCTGGTCCCCCCTTCACCCAGAGTTGGGGAGGATCCCTGGCTGGTGAGGTCAGGGCAGCCAGAAAGGTGTGCGGCCCAGACGTGTGCCGGGGTGGCACCTCTCTGAGATGGGATCTGCACATCTGCCCCAGTGGCTTCTAAGGTGGCCGCCTCAGCGCCACCCTGGTGCATTCAGGTGTGGCTGGGGGCGGGGATGCGGCATTGTGCACCTCTGGTAGGACCTCTGGCGCTTTGCTGACCAGCCAGGGTTGAAGCTTTGCTGCTGGGACAGGAAAGGATGTGCTGCGGGGGTTTCTGTGTATGGGCGCAGCCTGGAGCACAGAGACCCTGGTCTCTCTCCTGCCTCTGGCTCAGCTCTGGAAACCCCTGCTGTCTCTCCAACTAATAAGAATGCCAGCTTAGGCCCCTAGGAAGGCAGGGATAGGGTGCCAATGTTGGTCAGGGGATGGAACAGCCTGGGGAACAGCCTGATTTTTTCGACTCCCCGAAAAAATCAGCACACTGCCTTCAGTGGCCCAGGGAACTTTGCAGGTGTTGACATCTGTCACCTGAAATTGTCACATCAGCCCTGTGAGGAAGATCCATTGATCACTGTTGACAAATGAAGAAACTAAAGCCTTAGGATGGGGCAGGACCAGTGGGCATCTGGGCCCAAGTTCCTGGGTGTGCTCTGGCTGGGGGGCTGGGGGGTGCTATCTGGTGGCCAGTTTCCCACCTGGTTTAAGAAGGGATCCTGCTCTTGAGGGGAACCCAAGGTGGCCCTAGCAGCTGTGTACACGGGGCCCCCAAGCCTCCACCCTTTCTGGTACTGATCCTTCTGGCCTTGGCTCCAGACTGCTCCACGGGGAGGTGAGGCCTGGCCCAGGTCTGCGGGGGTCCCTGGCCCTTCTTCCCATTGCAGCTATGGTGCTGTGGAACCCTCCCAGGGGAGCTCTGGGGGCCTCTACGGAGCCTGACCTGCCATCCTGGCCAGGACGCTTCTCTCCACGCTCCCTCAGGCCGTGCAGGGCAGAGGCGTGGAGCTCTGGCCTTCCTCTCCTCTCCCTCCCAGATGGGATGGAGGGTTCTGGTGAACTGGTGGTCAGACTCGGAGGAGCCTGGGGGGCACAGAGATATGAAGTGATTCCAGTGTTGGGGGGGGGACTTTCTATCTGCTCCAGATGCCCCTGGTGGGGGTTGGGCAGAGGGATTGAGAATCTTCTAGAGCTGTGACTGGGGGTCGGGGGAGAGGCTGGGGCTTCCTCAGGCCCTTTGTCTTCGAGGCCTGAGAAGCCAGGTAGTACCCGCCACAGGGAGGGCCCCACTATGGAGCGTGCGACATGTGTGTGCACACGTACTCCTGCCTTGGCAGATGGCTGCCCGGGAGGGGACTGACCCAGCCCTGGGCCCCCTCCTCCAGTCACGGCCAAGGGCGGGTGGGAGGCTTCAGAGGCCCCAGGAGGCTGCAGACCTGCCTGAGTCAGCCCTGGGAAAGCAGTCCTGCACAGCTGATAGAGGGTCGCGTCTCCTTTACACAGACGCACACACAGTCTAGTGCCCCCTAGGACCCTAGAAGTAAGGAGGCGGCTGGTGGGGACAGGCGGGGGGTGGGGGTGGCGGCGACACTGAAGGTTGGAGACTCAAGGGCTCCGCTTGGGGTCACTTGGGGTCAGGGAGGGACAGAGAGGGACCAGAGC